CATGCTGGGCCTTCGAAAAGCAAACTGCCAGGTTGTGAACTGCCTGTGGACGGGGCCGTGTGGCAGGAACTACGGGTGGCCCCTGGGAGCTGAGTGACCTCCAGCTGACAGTCAGTAGAAATCCAGGCCTCTCCATCCCACAGCTGAAGGGAAATGAATTCTGGTACCACGTGAATGAGCTTGGAGGCAGTTTCTTCCCCAGACCAGCCTCCAGATGAGAATGCAACCTGGCCAACACCTTGATTATAGGCTTGTAAGACCCACTCAGGTGCACCCAGACTCCCGACTCACAGGACTGTGAGATCATAAGCATGTGGGTTTTTTTGTTTTTAATAAATTTATTTTATTTATTTATTTTTGGCTGCTTTGGGCCTTTGTTGCTGCGCACGGGCTTTTCTCTAGTTGTGGAGAGTGGGGGCTACTCTTTGTTGTGGTGCTCAGGCTTCTCACTGTGGTGGCGTCTCTTGTTGTGGAGCATGGGCTTTAGGCACACGGGCACCCGTAGTTGTGCCTCACGGGCTCTAGAGCGCAGGCTCAGTAGTTGCAGCGCGTGGGCTTAGTTGCTCCGTGGCATGTGGAGCCTTCCTGGACCAGGGCTCGAACCTGTGTCCCCTGCATTGGCAGGTGGATTCCTAACCACTGCGCCACCAGGGAAGTCCACGTGCGTTGTTGTAAGACCCTAAGTTTGTGGTTATTTGTTGTGAATCCCCCAGAAACTGGAGTGACTGGGCTGAAGCTCAGTAGAGAGGTCACGTGTGGACGTGTGTCCATCACACAGTGGATGAGAGCCCATGTGCTTGAAGCAAATGGCCTGGGGCTGAGCCCCAGCACTTCTCAGCTGTGTTACCATAGCCAAATTACATATTCTCTCTGTACTTCAATTTCCTCATTCATAAAATTAAAAGAATAAAAAAATAGTACCTATCACCCAAGGTTGCTACTCATGATTAAATTAATTAACAACTGTTGAGCGCTTACAACACCTGCTCCAGAGTAAGCACTACTGGGGGAGGGAGGGTGGGTTAAGTTCTCAAAGGCAAAAAGTGCTAAGAAAGGCGAAGAAAAAGGCAAAGCAACGGGGGAAAGAAGATGGGCCAGGGGCAAGTTAAAGCAAAGTCAGACAGGAAGTGGCAAAGAGGATCAACAAAATCATAGTCCAAAATCTCACTCATGAGGACAAGAGAGAACTTCAATGGGGAATGTCAAGAAATATAAGAAAAGGTGGAACCTAGAAAAAGTCATCAGATGAAGGAGCAGGAGTAGAATGAAGACATTTCCGTGAGTTAAAAAGGAATCAGGGGGCTACCCTGGTGGCGCAGTGGTTGAGAGTCCGCCTGCCGATGCAGGGGACACGGGTTCATGCCCCGGTCCGGGAAGATCCTACACGCCGTGGAGCGGCTGGGCCCGTAAGCCATGGCCACTGAGCCTGAGCGTCCGGAGCCTGTGCTCTGCAACGGGAGAGGCCACAGCGGTGAGAGGCCCACGCACCGCAAAAAAAAAAAAAAAAAAAGGAATCAGCCCAAAGCAGGGGGTGGTGGAGAATTAACTGGCCTACAGGGACTGAAAGACCTGGCCCACTGGCCTCCTTGCTCACACACACCGGGATGCTCCCTCTTCAAAGCCTTGGCACTGGCTTATTATCTCTTCCCGAGCATTCTTCCTTGATATCCACACTTCCTTTCAGTGTTTGTCCAAAAGCCCTTTCTCATCAGGCTGGTCCTGAGCAATGTATTCAAAATGGCACCCCAATGACCCTGTGCCTTGCTATGCTTTTATCTACAGCAGCGGTCCCCAACCTTTTTGGCACCAGGGACCAGTTTTGTGGAAGACAATTTTTCCACAGGCCAGGGAGGGTGGGGGGAGGATATGGTTCAGGCGGTGATGCGAGCGATGGGGAGCAATGGGGAGCAGCAGATGAAGCTTCGCTCGCTGGCCCGCCGCTCACCCACTGCCGTGTGGCCCGGTTCCTAACAGGGCCCAGTACCGGTCCATGGCCCGAGTGTCGGGGAGCATTTATCTCATACCATGCTACAAGATTTAGTATTTGTTACATTTATTGTTTTTCTGTCTCCCCTACTAGAATGCAAGCTCCACAGAGACAGATTATCGTGTGTATTTTTTGCTGATACATTCCTAGGGTTTAGAACAAGGCATAGTTCATAACAGGTACTCAGAGACATGACAACTAAATGCAACATCTCATTCGAACTAGATCCTTTCACTTATAAGGACATGATGAGAACAACAAGCAAAATCTGATTGGGGGTTGGGGTGGAGGAAAGAAAATTCTTTGGGGCTATACTCCCAATTTTCTGTGACTGCTTAAAAAAATTTTTGCATCATTAAAAATTAAAGAAAGAAAATAAAACTCTGACATGCTGGTAATAACCAAAAAAGACCTAAAAACTTTATTATAAATATTTATGTATTTCTGGAAAAAGCAATAAAATCAATGGGAGGGGAAAGAGAGAAGGACAGGAACTTTCATTTTTATTGTGCATAGTTTTTACAAAGAGCATATATTACTTACATAATATTTAAATAATAAAATATATGTGGAAAAAAATAAGTTGGTCCCACAGACCATTTCTGGGAGGGGGCAGAAAGGCACAGGGACAGTCAGGGAGGAAGACCCTCTCCTCGTGTTTCTTTCCCAGGAGCACCACAACTGACCAGGGACACTGCAGGCTCTCTGCTGGCGTGAGGATCGGGGAGGGGGGGCAGGGGCCACTGGAAAGGCAGCCGCCCTGCCCACCTGGTGAGGACAAGCTTCCTCCAGCTCGAGTTCCACATGTGCCTGTCACCCAGGGCAAAGGGACCTTGCCAGGAAAACTGGAGAGCATTGGCTAGGCTCGGAAGAGCCTCTTTAAGGTAAGACTTACAAATTAACAAATGTCTCACACTATTTATATTTTGTGTCATTGCAAAGAAGTTGATAATTTACTGAAATTGATCGGCTTTCCATTTCTTTTTAACTTTTTACTACGGCAAGTTGTATGAGGACATAATCCCCATGGACCCATAATCCAATTCAACTATTCAATCCTGTTTCAACACACATACACACACACATACACACACACACACACACACACACACACACACACACAGAGTTGGTCCGTTCAAATCAACATCTAAACAAGATCCACACACTGCCCCTAATTTCTTCCCTGATCATCTTTTTTGAAAACTTTTTGTTAGCAAGACCTGTGGCAAGCCTAGGACAGGGACACTTAATGTTCAGGCTCCAGCAAGGAGCTCATGGGACAGGTAAGAGCCCCCCGAGAACTCTGCCAATCACAGCATTAACCGCACAGAAAACAAAAGTGTAAGAAAATTCCCCAGAAACACTCATACAGTCATGGCTCTGCCGGTAACCACAACTTAGGTGAATCCCTGTCCCTCCTTGGGCCTTAGTTTCTTCAGTGGGAATGGACAAAATGATAATGATGACGTTGACATCATTGGACATTTATTGCCTAAAGATCCTTCAAGATTTCTTTCAGCCAAGACTGTGATCTTTGGTATCAAACTCACACAATGCATTAGCAAAGGACGACATCCTCCTTGGTTGGGTGAGGGAAAACAGATCAGGAGTGGAGGAGAATATTTCATAAATGACAAAGGGAAAAACTAGGGACAATGGTGACAAAGAAACTGTAACCACAAATGTAGGTTACGAAACAAAACTTCAGTCATCAACATAATCCAAATTTGAACAACATGCTATTGTTTCAAAGTACTTTCTTACACATTAGCAAATTTGATCCACACTAACGGATAAATGATAAAGGATGGTGTAAAAGGTTAATGGTAGAGTCTTGGGTATGACAGTGTATCACTAGACCAGTGGTTCTCAACCAGGGCAATTTTACTCCACTTCCCAAGGGCCATCTGGCAATGTCTGGAGGCACTTTGGTTGTCACAGGTGGGGCAGGGTACTGGCATCTAGTGGGCAGAGGCCCAGGATGCTGCTAAACACCCCACAAAGCTCAGGACAGCCTGCACCACAGGCAAGTATCCAGCCCAAAGTGTCAGCAGCTCTGAGGGAGAGAGTCTCTGATCGGGGTGAATCTCCTTGTTACCCAAGTGAAACTGTGCTGGGGGCACGGTGGAGAGAGGAGGGGCTAGTAAGGTCTAAAACCACAGTTAGATAGACACCCTGCACCCTACCTGAGCCTCCATTGCAGACCATGCCAACACATGAGATTTGATAAGGAGACTGTCTTGGTTTGGTTTGGTTTGGTCACCAAGATAGATCAGAACACATATTTCCGAATCTCAGTTATTCCCTCAATGTAGTCACCTTGGAAAACTATTTTTAAGACACTATCGAACTGAAGAACTTACCCTGTGTGGCAGACTTGTCTCTGAGAGCCGTGGCAGCCCCTGATTGAGGTCATGGGCCATTGGTGACCTTGGGAAGGACGGGCGACGAACACAGCGGGTGATGAGGAGGTGGGGAGTGTGTGTGTGTAGGGGCTGCTACTTCATATTCAATTCTCAGCGAGGCTTGTCTGGGAAGGTGACATTTGAATTTTACCGAAAAAAAAATTAAAACAAGAAAAACAGTTTTTTTAAAAAGAATTTTACTGAAAGATCAAAGCCATCCAAAAAGAGAAAAATTGGCCATTGATGAAGATATTCCAAAGAATACATCCCAGACTCTAAAAGCTATTTCCAGAAAAGAGGCCCCAAATTTCTGAACAGCAATGGTCTTCTTCAAATAAGTATACTGGGCAGTGCTGCCTCCCCAGCCTGCCACCCCCAGTACAACTCTTTCAAAAGACAAGCTCTGGTGTGACTGTCTTGACCTCAACCCCTTTACAGAGCTAACTTCCCCCAGCAGGCTGGGGCTCAGGAATTCAGTACCAGCTGCGGTGAACGGCACTCCCCCCATCACCAGCACCACCACCACCCGCATCACCATCACCCCCATCACCACCACCAGCACCACCAGCACCACCAGCACCACCACCACCAGCACCACCACCACCCGCATCACCAGCACCCCCATCACCAGCACCACCAGCACCACCACTGCTCTGAGAAGGAGCCTGGATATGGTGGGTCCTGGGCAAGGAACGCTTGATCCAAAGGAGTAGTGAATAAAAGCTCAGGTCTGCCTGGAATGTTCTCTCCTTATTTGATTCCTTGTGTGTTCTTGTCTCCCAATGCTCGGGGAGACAAATGCCCGGGCCATAGGCAAACTGAGGCTCAGACTCCAAGCCTGGGAGTCCAATCCCTTTCCCTCTTTTTCCTGATGGTGCTTCTTCTTGGATTCATCAACTCTAGCCATCTCAGCAATAAGATCCTCAGGGCCAGATGAGGGGATGAGTCTAGAAAATAAGCCAAGGAGGCTTCTCAGCCTGTTTGAAGCATAAGCCCCAGGCTTACCTGACACCTGGGCAAAAAGGTCCTCTACCTGGTCTACATCAACTGCCCAGGAAACTACCCTGTGGCCTGAGCTAAAGCCACAGCCTATATTAAGGAGTTTCTCTTCTCCTCCCTTCCCTAATCAACAGGGCAGTAGTAGGTGTCTGGTAAAACATTAGAGGACCCTCTGTCCTAGCCCTTCCTCTAGGAAGTACCTCTCTCTATCACAAAAAAAAACAAAAAAAACCACAACAAGGCAGGTAGCAAGATGCTACAATCTGTGTACAGATTCAGAAGTGCTATGTAGGAACTAATTCAGACATCACCACGTCCTAAGAGGTCCCCTGCCCACCCAAGCTTAAGCTTCATACTTCAAAGAAAGATTGTGAATTACACATTATGATACCAATTATTTCCGAATGCATTATGAAACAGGAGCTTTTCTAAGCAATTTTGTTGTTTTAATTCTTTCCTTCTCTCATTTTTAATAATCACACTCTAGTTTTTAGTACATTAAGATGCAATTAAGAAAAAAAAAAGTCCTGTATATTTTAACTGTATTTCAGCTTTTTCTTTTACACGAAGAATTCCAAAGCCATCCATAATAATGTAGCATACAATATAGACAAAAGACAAAAGGAATAGTTTCGATAAAATTAGCTGAGTTCCATTTAGGAGAAAAAAATGCAAGTCTACTTATTTTGAAAACCCTTAGCATGAGACATTCATTGAAAGGATGGAGAATTCTTCATCATACAAAGGCGAAAACAAACCACACAGCACACTGGTGGAAGAGAAAGCTTTATACTATCTGAGGAAGAGGGTATAGCAAATCAGGACTCAAATGCTGAATCTGGAGATTACTAACAGTCAGTTATCTGCCCAGTAAAATGTCACCATTATTAAATGTGAACCCACCCATGTTGAATTGTATTTCCAGGCAAGTAGAAGGATGATGTCATCTAATGGGTAGAAAAATGAACAAAGAAAAACAAAATTATCTTAATGATTTAAGGCACAATTTGTGAGCCACAGAATTTCACATTCACAGGTACTAAGGTTGAGTGGCATTTCAGTGATGAGAAAATATTTTTGTTTGCTCCATATGCTAAAGCCTTATTCATCCCCTGCTTACCTTCCAGCCCAGAGGTCAGCAAACTTTCCTTTTGTAAAGGGCCACATAGTAAATATTTCAGGCTTTGTTCAGGCCATTACTCAACTCTGCTACTGTAGCATTAAAGCAACCACCGAAAATACGTAAAAAAACAGGCGTGGCTGTGTTCCAATAAAAATTTATTTATAAAAACAGAACCGTGGGCTGTAATTCGCCTACCCCAGTTCTAGTCCACGGCGTCCTAGTTAGGAGGGGTGAGGCAGAGCACGCTTAGGACGCTCTTGTAAGAAATGGCAGGAATAAGCAAAGAGAGCTGGTAGATCTGAAACTACCCACCAAGACATGGAGCATAGCCCTTCATACCCAAGGGTATTCTTCCAAGACGAAAATCAAGTCTAGATACATGAGGTAGGAATTAGCTCTCAGCAACCTTTGTTCTCAAGCTACAAGTGTTTCTCCCTCACAGAAACAGCTTCTACTTTACCATGTGGCTGGTCTTCTGAACTGGGTGACACTCAGAATATGTCACCTGACGGAAGTTACACTATCATGTATGAAATATTCTTGCCCCCAAATTTGAACCTAAATCTGATCAAGACTTTAGTTTATAGGACATTTTGGGGGCAAAGAAACACTTTAGGACTTCCCTGGTGGTGCAGTGGTTAAGAATCCACCTGCCAATGCAGAGGACACGGGTTCGATTCCTGGTCCAGGAAGATCCCACATGCTGCAGAGCAGCTAAGCCCGTGCGCCACAACTACTGAGCCTGCGCACCACAACTACTAAGGTCACGCCCCGCAACTACTGAAGCCCGCATGCTCTAGGGCCCGTGTGCCACAACTACTGAGCCCGCGCACCTAGAGCCCGTGCTCCACAACAAGAGGAGCCACTGCAATGAGAAGCCCGCGCACAGCAACGAAGACCCAATGCAGCCAAAAATAAAAAAAAATTTTTTTAAACCTTTATTATAAAAAAAAAACCCACGTTAAATGACAACACCAGAATGTTGGCAACAAAATCTACATTGTGGGGAAACACACAGATCCCGATCCAAGAGATTCAAAATATCCAAAAGATCCAGCTTCTTGACCAAATATATCACAAGACAGAACAAGAGGACTTCCCTGGTGGTCCAGCAGTTAAGACTCTGTGCTCCCAACGCAGGGGGCACGGGTTCAATCCCTGGTCAGGGAAGATCCTGCATGTCCTGTGGCACAGCCAAAACTAAATTTAAGATTTTTTTAAATAAATAAGTTTAAAAGTATGCCATTTTTAAAAATTTTTAGAATGCTTTTTAATTAAAAAAAAAAAAGACAGAACAAGAGAGGGACAGGAAACCTGCATATTAAAAGAGACTTAGGGGCTTCCCCAGTGGCTCAGTGGTTAAGAATCCACCTGCCAATGCAGGAGACACGGGTTCAAACCCTGGTCCGGGAAGATCCCACATGCCACGGAGCAACTAAGCCCATGCGCCACAACTACTGAGCCTGAGCTCTAGAGTCCATGAGCCACAACTACTGAGCCCACATGCCACAACTACTGAAGCCTGTGCGCCTAGAGCCCATGCTCTGCAACAAGAGAAGCCACCGCAATGAGAAGCCCATGCACCACAACAAAGAGTAGCCCCCGCTCGCTGCAACTAGAGAAAGCCCACGTGCAGCAAAGAAGACCCAATGCAGTCAAAAATAGAAATAAAATAAAATAAAGTTATTAAATAAATAAATAAATAAAGAGACTTAAGAGACATATTAACCAAATGCAATGTGTGGACTTTGTTTAAATCCTTTGATTACTCTGAGGTATTTTTAACTAACTGTGAAAAAATATTTCTTAGACAATCAAAGAAATCTGAACATGAATATTCAGTGATATTAAGAAATGAATTATTGTTCATTTCTTACGTGTGATAATAGTATTCTGTTGATGTTTTAACAAAATGAATCCCTATCTTTTCAGAGCCATATTGAAATATTTATAAGTAAATCTGATTTTCTTTTTAAATCCTCATCCTAAAATTCTTTATTCAGGAAAATAACTTTGGTTGTTTTGATCCTGTAGAAGTCACTGCTTTTCAAATATACCCATGAATGAGGTGAAAGAATAGGGGGTGAAACTCAACAAACACCAAGGACAGATTTAGGGCTAAATGATAAACAAGTAAATTAAAAAGTTAATGTATTTATATACCCTTGATGGACCTAAAAGGTCCTTCAGAGCATACATACCATGTGGAGGTCAGGCTTCTGATAATGTTAACATCTGGAAAATAGCCATCAATCTGAAAATTAAAAAAAAAAAAAAGACTTCTAAGTGGCAAACAGCTTTCACAAATCCCATGCACTTTACTTCATGAAAGGAAAAGAAGCACATCATTTATAAACTTGTATCAAACAAGGCATCAGCAAGAGCTAAAAGAGGAAAGAAACAAAGGACTTAGAATTAGAAGCAGAGGAACAGGGCAACCCAAGAGTTCAGGAAATAAACACGGTTCACAGAGAGAAGACCTCCAAGGCGTCACCCTTAGGCATCTTCCCAGAGTGGGAAACATAGGTTCAACCAGGCTCAGAGTCCTGTTGAAAGCAAGAAAGGCAATAAAGACACAGCTTAGGGGCTTCCCTGGTGGTGCAGTAGTTAAGAATCCGCCTGCCAATGCAGGGGACACGGGTTTGAGCCCTGGTCCAGGAAGATCCCACATGCCGTGGAACAACTAAGCCCATGTGCCACACAATTACTAAGCCCACATGCCACAACTACTGAAGCCCGTGTGCCACAACCACTGAAGCCCACGTGCCTAGAGCCTGTGCTCCACAACGAGAAGCCACTTCAATGAAAAGCCCGCTCACCGCAACTAGAGAAAGCCTACGTGCAGCAACGAAGACCCAACACAGCCAAAGATAAATATAAAATAAGTAAATAAATTAAAAAAAAAGAAAAGACACAGCTTAAAATTATCTTCATTAAGATGGCTACAATTTAAGAAGCTAAATTATTCACTTAAATAAAGGAAGAACAGGTTTTGAGGAAAGGCAGAATTGAGATAAGTGAGTATAAGTGGAGGCAGATTTTGAGCTTGAAACAGAGACAGAGCTTCTCTACAATGAGAACCAGCCCCAAGGGAGTGAATGGGGCCCTCATTTGCTGCCCTGAGGTACTAGACACCTCACAGTGAGCTCCATATCACTCCCGACATTGGGTGAGGTTGGATCAGTGGTCCTTGAGGATCCTGAACAATTCCAAGGTTTTCTGGTGGGTAAAGTTAAAGAAAAAATTATTCTGATGCTTATTAAAACGGTAAGAAAGACTTTTTTTAGGGCTATTGCAAAATAGGAGAGAGATGGGGCTCAACTCTGAATACAGCAAAGACACCTGAGGATTTACAGCAATCAAGCGAAGTGAGGCAGTCAGTGGACAGAAAATTACTCAGAGGAGACAGCAGGGTAGGGGGATTCTTATTAACAAACAAGCAATGGGATTTTTGCTGAAGGTAGCCTAGGGTGATCAGATATCGAGGGTGATCACATATCAAGAGTGGGTGATTCTCTCTGAACTGACTTAGCAGGATTCTTGCTAAAATTGAGCTAGGCAGGCCAAAGACAGGACAAGAGCCAAGGTCCAGATCTAGACAAAAACAGGACTCAGAGGAACCCGACTAAAGTCTGCTTAAGGAGAGAGTCTTTGTTTGTAATGTTAACTCCACCTTACAAATAGAAATGCCTAGAGGTGGTGTCCAAAGTCACAGAGCAAGTATGAGCTGGTGCCAGCAACAGATCCCCGACTCCCAGATCCAACCTTGGTGACGTCAGTTACCCCCGCTGCCTCGTAAAACCTTGCACTGCATAACACTTTTTAATTTCTCAAGTGCTTCCCGACATAATTTCTCTGTCTCCAAACTCCAGAAATGCTCATTTCTAAACATCAAGCTGTCATAAGATAGGGGGAAACTACCTTTGAACACAATGCCACATGAGAGATTTACATACAATCCCCTGTAATACTGAAGCAGACTGGTTCATCATCATGAGGTATAATGAAGCCTTTGAAAGTGACCTTATAATAACAGGCAGACAAATAAAATAGAAAAAAAAGTAAAAGACTGGATTTAAAAGCATCCGAAAAGAACAGGAAGTTTCCAATCACTAACAGGATTACAAAACCTCCATAGCACAAGCTAAGCAATTTCCCATGATGCCCAATACCCAGGGAGAGCATTTACAGATGACAGAGCTGCTTCCTGCGCTCTTAAAAGTACCATCCACAGGATAAAAGTTATTTAAGAATCTAAAGGGCGATGAACTAAATATTCTCTGGTTGCCCTTTAGATTACTTCTTATCACTGGGACATGTGCCCTGGGAGGCTGACCTCTATGACCCGCATCAACCAGGCTCCCTTGCCCTCTGGCCCCTTAGGTACCAGTAGAAGCCAGGAAAGTAGGAGGAGGGGAAGGAAGGAAGGAGCATGCATCCCCCAGCTTCCTCCCTGCAGGGTCACCTGGGGGTCTCTCCATCACAGGTCAGTTTCTCTCAGGTGATCCTCTCCCTCTATCCTTACTTCTAGGGGTTGGAGGGTGCCATAGACTATATCCCCTAAAAATTCATACATTGAAACCTAATCCCCAATGAGATTGTAATAGGAGGTGAGGCCTTTGGGAGTTGATTAGGTCATGAGGGTGGAGAACTCATCAGTGGGATTAGCGCCCTTATGAAAGAGACCCCAGAGAGCTCCCTCCCCCCTTCTGTCATGTGACAGTCATCTATAAACCAAGAAGCAGACACCGAATCCTCCAGTGCCTTGATCTTGGACGTCCCAGCCTCCAGAACTATGAGAAATTTATAGTATTTATTCTGTTATAACAGTCTGAATGGACAAAGTCAGAGGGGTTTCCTCCTATCGCCCCAGTGTACCTCACTCCCCCTTTCTGTTTCTCAACCCCATGACACACCTTTATTGAACTTTCTTCTGTCACCTCTTTGACTGTGCCTTATACTTTCCTGCCCAGCTTCTGACTGACAGCAATGGAAAAAGAAGAGGGGCAGAGAATCAAAACTTTAATTTTCCACATTTACCCTCAATTGGTGGTGGTTAGTAGGGGACCCAATTTTTTTTGTTGTTGTTGGTACGTGGGCCTCTCACTGTTGTGGCCTCTCCCGTTGCGGAGCACAGGCTCCGGACGCGCAGGCTCAGCGGCCATGGCTCCGGACGCGCAGGCTCAGCGGCCATGGCTCACGGGCCCAGCCGCTCCGCGGCATGTGGGATCTTCCCGGACCGGGGCACGATCCTGTGTCCCCTGCATCGGCAGGCGGACTCTCAACCACTGCGCCACCAGGGAAGCCCTAGGGACCCAATTTTTACGCTAGATTTCCTGGTATGTGTGTGGGGAACGAGATGTGTTCAAGGAGGCCCTGAGGGTAAGGGTTCCCCTGAAAATCCAGGATTGATATGCGGAACTTTGTATACATGTGCATTTTTCTGAAAAGAGAAATCCAGAAAGAAAAAGGTCAAAAATTCAATTGTATTCTCAAAAGTTAACCCATAAATGGAGAGCCAGCACTGTAAGAGAAAGACAGCACAGGGGACTTCCCTGGTGGCGCCGTGGATAAGAATCTGCCTGCCAATGTAGGGGACACGGGTTCGAGCCTTGGTCCGGGAAGATCCCACATGCCACGGAACAACTAAGCCCGTGCACCACAGCTACTGAGCCTGCGTTCTAGAGCACGTGAGCCACAACTACTGAGCCCACGTGCCACAACTACTGAAGCCTGCGTGCCTAAAGCCCATGCTCCGCAACAAGAGAAGCCACCGCAGTGAGAAGCCCACGCACCACAATGAAGAGTAGCCCCCGCTCGCCACAATTAGAGAAAGCCCGCGCGCAGCAACGGAGACCCAACGCGGCCAAAAATAAATGAATAAATTTTTTTAAAAAAAGAGAAACATAGCACAGAAACAGTCACCGTGTGCCCAGGAGAAGAAAAACGACCGGGCTGACAGTGGGGACCACGTGCCAGCTGCAGGAGCAGGAACACAGCCTCCTGCCCTCTCTGAGGGGCCGGGCTGCAGGAGGAACCACGGCCTCCCCTCGGCCCACCACCACCCGCCCCAGGGAGGCAGCTGCGATGGTATGTTCCCGCAAAGCACTCACGGCTCCCTCCCAACACTCAAGTGACATTTCAAAAGCTCATCAGCTCAGCAGGTGCTCGGATGCACAAGCAATAGCAAAAACAGTTCCGGGCTAAGGAGAATCTCATCCTGTTGTTCTGAAGAGCTTGCAGCATGGAGGCAAGGGAGAGTGTGGAAGGCAGCAAAGCAGGAGGAGGGAAAGCAGCAGACTAGCAGAGCTGACCCAACAGGAAATGCCCCAGAGCTGCTGGCAGGGGCCCCATCTGGAGGCAGGGGCGATCCCCACTGTGGAGTCAGCCCTTACCTTACAGACACGTGTGTGTACGTGGCCTGAGTCCAGCTCCACCCCTCACCTGCTGTGTGACCGAGAATATGTGGCTCACCCTCTCTGGGCTACATACAGCTTCTCCCTTTACCATTCAGTACGAACTTCATAGGACTGTTGTGTGGGTCAATGAGAAAATGCCTCTAAGACCTAGTAAATGCCTTTCCAGATATGTTTTAGGATTCACGTCAGAGCTCTTCTCTAATTCCTTCGCTGTGAGGTGATCCCAGGTACAAACAGAAGCCTACAAAAGACTGATAAAATCAACCTTCCCTGGTGGCGCAGTGGTTAAGAATCCTCCTACCAATGCAGGGGACACGGGTTCAAGCCCTGGTCCGGGAAGATCCCACGTGCCGCGGAGCAACTAAGCCCCTGCGCCACAACTCCTGAGCCTGAGTTCTAGAGCCCACGATCCACAACTACTGAGCCCGCGTGCTGCAACTACTGAAGCCCACGTGCGTACAGCCCATGCTCTGCAACAAGAGAAGCCACCGCGATGAGAGAAGTCCATGCACCGCAAAGAAGATCCAATGCAGCCAAAAATAAATAAATTAAAAAAAAAATCCACCTCCAGTTCCACACCAGGATGGATGCCAACAGGGAGTGACGAGCCACCGGGGCAAGGGCACCTGAGAGGAACCGGAACATCCATCCCATACGGAGCCTGTATATGTCCGTACCCTGTGCCACTGTCCCTCTCCCGCCTACACCAGGGGCCTTAGCTCAGAGGCAGAGCCCGGAGCCAGATGTCCTTAGCGGACACTTGGCCCTGCCATGTACTGCCTGGGTGGCCTTGAGCAAGCAAGATTACCCCACTGACTCAGTTTCCTCGTCTATA